TATATATATATAGGTGACCAAGTGAGCACAAGTCAAGTAAAGCTCAAAAAATAAAATTCAGTCAAAAAATGTCATGTGAGTGATTAGCCTTAATGAGTGATACCTTAAAGTGAGTTTCAACTGTTTAACAGAGATAAGGGGAATAATTTGTCTTGTCTAGAGGTATTCTAAAGTAATTGAACCCGCCTGTGTGGACTTTGACGAAAAGGAGACAATTATTTAAAGTTCAGGATACAACTGTGGTAACCCAGGGGGTAATGTAAATGAATTATTCACTAATACTAGTGTGAGAAAAGTAGAGAAAAATATTTCTTGTCAATTGGATTCTAAAGTAATTGAATCAGCCTGTGTGGACTTTTGACAAGAAGAGAGAATTATTTAGAATTTTAGATAAAACTGTAATTTCCTATAGTGTAAAGAATATTTTTGTACATATGTTTGACTTGTTTTGAATATATATTATTTTAAAACAATTGGATTGTGTGCAGTCCGTTTATTGTCCAAATTTATCTTCAACAAGTCACAGACACCTACTGTAAAAAAATCCCAACCCACTCATATATAAAACCCTGACATTTGGCGAGCCGGGCCAATATTATACAGTGGTAAACGGCGGTATAAGTAAACGTGAATGACATCGGAATTAAATACGCCTATATACGCACAACGCTAAAGATATCAAAGGCGGCAAGAAGTATTTATATCACAAGTAGGTTTTAGTTCTCCAAAACACGGCATAATTAAGCGTGAAACCTTTTAGATTCGAGAATTTAAAAAAAAAATTGTAAAATCGAACCACGTCGAAATGTTCACAACAAATCATGGGATATGAATTAGGAACGTTTATGAGAATAATTCCATTTTGATAAGCACACAGCAAGTACATCTTTCTACACCAATAACATGGAAATAAAAATTTTCACGAAATTTTTTAAAAGTTTGTTTGTTTGTTGAAAGTTAAGCACAAAGCTACACAAAGGGTTATCTGTGCTCTGCCCACCACGGGTATCGAAACCCGGTTTCTAGCGTTTAAGTCCGCAGACATGCCGCTGTGCCAATGGGGGGCTTTTTAAAAGTACAAAGGCAGTTTGGGTGAAAAAAAAATGGTTTTATGCAAACACGTTAAGAAGTGCTTATTTTAAATGAAAATTAAGTGTGAAACCTCCTTTTGTCTGTATTTTTTACAGATTCACAAGAATGAAACATTGTGACTTTAATAAATTGTAATTCAAATTTCAAAACAGAAAATGTCTTTTATAAAATAATAGAAACGTAGTAGTTAAAGTTGGACTAAATCTGTAATGAACACCTTTTAGATTCAAGTTTGATAAAAGAGTTAGCACAAAGGATCATATATAAAGTGTAAAATACTTAAAATAAGACCCAAAACTTCAGCGCTTTCGAATAGTTGATCTATTCGAAAGCGCTCGAGTTTCGGGTCTTATTTTAAGTATTTTAGATTCAAGAATTCAAAAAAAATCCTATTGATTAATTCCCTTCTTTTCTTTAGAAGTGTAGTAAAATCGAACCTAGTCGAAATTCTCACAACAAAACATGTATTAAGTATTGGAAGTTTTTATGAAAAGAGTTCCATTTTGAAAAGCGTACATGAAGTGCATCTTTCTACACCAATAACATGGAAATAAAAAATTTCCGAAATTTTTGAAAAATGCAAAGCCTTTATAGTTCTGTTGAAAAATTGATTTTATGGAAACACGTTGAGAAGTGCTTATTTTACATCACAATTAAGTATAAAACCTTAATTCTTACTGATTCACAAGAATGGAACATTGTGACATTTAATAAGTCATACTATATGGCTTCCAAATTCAAAAAGAAAGCGTCCAGAATAGAAACAAAGTTAAAGTTAGGCTAAATCTGTAATACATACCTAGTATCCTTATATATATTTAAGACTTTTCCAAGAAAATTTCTTTTCCCAAATCCCTTTCTTTTCTTCAAAAGTGTAGTAAAATAGAACATATCAATATTTTACAATAAATCATGGGATAAGCATTAAGAGATTTTAGGAAAAGAGTTCCACTTTCAAAAGGTACATCAAATGCATCTTCCTACACCAATAATATGAAAATAACAAGTTTTTACTAAATTTTGAAAAATACCTGTTTCGGTGAAAAAAAAATGGTTTTATGCAAACTCGTTAAGTAGCACTTATTTTAAATCAAAATTAAGTGTGAAGCCTCCTATTGTCTTTATTTGTTACAGATTCACAACAATAAAACATTGTGGCTTTAATAAATCATAATACAAATTCATAAAAATGAAAATGTCTCTTATAAAAGGATAGAAACGTAGTTAAAGCTGGACAAAATCTTTAATTAGATTCAATAATTTTAAGAGAAAATTCCATTTCCTGAATCCCTTTCTTTTCTTAGGGAGTGTAGTGAAATGGGAGTTGGGTGTAGTTAGTGTATATTTGTAATAACTGCTATTGTAAATTGTATTGTTGTTTGTATATTAAAACATATTTGTGTTAAAAAAGAAAACTGTGTGTATCAATCTTGTTGGCAAATATCATAAACTAACTATATATATATCGGCTTTTACTTAACTGCTAAATCCAAAGTACAATTTAACTACTAAATTTAAAGTATTGTTGCGTCAGCGAGGTCACGTGACTGTCGTGAGATTACTAGATATAGGGTAGTCTGGTATATATAAGACGCTCACAACGTGACAACAATG